CCACTTCTGTATGGCCTTTGTGAGCAGCATTCAATAACGCACTCCATTCTTCCTGAAAACTGACAGTAAAAAAGTGAATCTAACGAAAGACGAGTAATAAAGATAGCAAAGTCATACGCTGTCAGATTCGTCCAGGATGTCCGGGTCGAGGGCGAGTGTCTTGACGGCTGCCACATTATTTGCACGTGCAGCAACAATGAGAAGGGTTTCGCCAGACTATAAGTACTTTATTATTTTTCAAATCGACAGTTTTAAGAGATAAGTGAACATAGAAGGTAGAAGCGCAGTCGCATATTTTTCAAGGAGTTGCGGTTTTGAGCTCTCTTTCAGATTTTTTTATTCGAAGAGAAAGAAATGAGGAAGATGACGAGATAGAGAAAAATTAGTTTTTGATAATCTTCGAAAATCAAATTCAAAATTGCCACTTTGGGAATTCGAAACTTTTCTCACCAGAGAAAAATAAAATTCCTACAGCGAAAACGAGTGTAAAAATGTAAAGGATTCCGGTAATATTAAACCCCTAGTTTGAAAGTCAATTGGCGCAACATATATGATTTTCGATCGTTCTGGCTACAGAACAAATTATGTGCTATCGGCAAACCAAAGTGTTCGTGAGAAGGCGGTTCTTCGTCAAATAAACTGGTTTTCCGACCCCGCCGTGTAAACGATGCAATTAATTCTAAGTATATCGCGGTAAAATGTTTGTCGCAAAGTTTCACCTACTTTCATCAATTCGGTGCTATTTACGATTTTGAGCAAACAGGAAGTGACAGAATCAAAAATAGTCGTGTAAAGCTAGTCCGATGAGGTTGAAAAAAGCGAAACTATTTGATGATAATGGCTAAACATCGTAAAAACATAGGATGGGGAAAACAGATGAAACAAAGCAAACGGTTTTTTAGAACGCTCCCAAAATGCATTCCTTTTATGCCAACTGTGCAAATATCCTACCACATAGTAAACATACATCGCGATGAAATGTTGCAAAAATGAAAAGCTAATTCTGAAAATAAATCGGTGGAACGAAAAGAAACTAACCGCATTTCGTAACGATGAAAGTTCAGCTGTGAGTGGGCATGACTCCAACGGTTCGAGTCTTTCAACCTGTAATTGGAAAGGTTGTTTTTCCTTTCCTAGGCAAACGGGTACTGGTAGAGCTCTTAACAGTACCTTTTCGAAGAGATCGGCGATCTGCAAGCTGTTCATCGTGACCGGAAGCGCCGAGGCGACGGCGAACGCGCTGCTCGCGGCCTCTACCCACGGGCGTCGATTGCTGCCGCTCTGCACCATTCGCGCCCTGCAGCTCACATCACAAATTAGCTGCTTTTCGTCTCGAACTTGTTGTGTATTCGGATTTCTTCGGCATTTAATTCGTCACACTATCGCGAAAGAAATCATGCCATTCACACTCGATCTACTTTACCTCATTTACAAGTAGCAAATTTCTTAACTGTTCATTCCACAGTTCCAGTCGCGCGATTCGCTCGTGCTTGATCGCCAAGTCTGACACTTGCTTCAAGCCCCGTCCATGGGTTGTGCGCTCGGGGTTCGCTGTATTACCAGGTCCCCATTGGTCTGATTGACCTCACGCTATGACCATTTGTCGATGGGTGTGTCGGCATTCCTTTAGTCGATGCTTATACAAACATTACTTCAAGCACAATCGCCGAATCGTCCATATCGCAATAGTTGCAAGCTAAGGACTAGATCGCCATTTTCCAAGTTCAGTGAAAACGCTGGCATGATCTCGGCATGCGGCTGTTCACAGTCCGCGACTCATAAAGCAGGGTGCAATACAATGGGAATGGCACCGTACAAGGGCCGCGTCCCCCCACACACACACACACAACTCCGGTCAGCCGAAGTCTTAGGTGATTCACGTTCGTTTTTGGTAAGTGTTCTCTGGCACCTCGCATATGCATCACTCTTGCACAGCGTTCTGCTGTCTTCTCGCCTCACAAGCTTAGTCCTAGGCACAGAAAGTATGCGCTTTCCCTGTCCGGACTCTCACGACGCCGTTGACCAACGCCCGTAACACACATTCCAACTTTTCTTGCACGTCAAATGATTGCCCTCACTCCCCTAGAGCGCCTACAGACCCCTGGCGAACGGATTTTCATTCGACATCATAGGCGAGTATTCAATCCTTCCCCCAGGAGAAGTATCCCGCTCGTCGCTCTGATTCAATCCTCTGGGGGACAAAAAAGGTTTGCGTCATAGGACCTAGCATACCTCTGTGTTTCTACCTGCCAGACAGTTAGAGCAGCGCTACTACCCTCCACTGATGAAGCACTCTTTTCCCTGAGGGGTCGCGCTGCTCTAACTGTCTGGCAGGTAGAAACAAAGAGTATCTGTCATGACGCACCCTTTTTTTGTCCTCCCAAAGGATTGAATCAGAGAAGAGGGATACATGCCCTGGGCGAAGGATTGAATACCGCTCCATATAGCGGGCAGCGGTTACAAGGCTTCTGTCAAAGTCTCGTCTGTCAAACAGGGGTGAGAGTGTAGAGAAAAGCAGACTTCTTCGCTGATCAGTGGCACTAAGCTCTGAGGAGTAAAGAAAGGCAGGCTGTAATAGCGTGCGCTTGTGTGAGAGCTCCCAGACAGCACGCTGAATTGCCTAGTCTCACGGTTGACAGATGTCCGGAGACTGCGGGCAGCAGTTCCCGCTACACACATTTCGCGCATACCGTATTCGAAAATTACGGCGTGCCCATCCTACTTGTATTGCACCCTGGTGAATTCGCGAAAACAATTGTGTAAGTGATGACCACGGAGAAACGCGCGCACGTGCATCGCGTTAAGTCAAAACATGGAATGTCTGCGATAAGATCAAGGCATCGTCACGGATAGTTTCCATAGGGTTACGAGGGACGTGGGGGGTACTCTAACATGCGCCAGTGGTGTGAGAACCTGTCTGAAAACGCGAAGAATGCGACTCCTTGTTTCTGGCCGCCGTTCTTTAATGCTCGTGGCAGTCGGCTATACGAAGTTAGGGGCGGTATTCAATCCTTCCCCCAGGGGGATATATCCCCCTCCTCTGATTCAATCCTCTGGGGGGACAAAAAAGGGTTGCGTCATAGGACCTAGCATACCTCTGTGTTTCTACCTGCCAGACAGTTAGAGCAGCGCTACTACCCTCCACTGATGAAGCACTCTTTCCCCTGAGGGGTCGCGCTGCTCTAACTGTCTGGCAGGTAGAAACACAGAGGTATGCGAGGTCCTATGACGCAACCCTTTTTTGTCCCCCCAGAGGATTGAATCAGAGTAGGGGGATATATCCCCCTGGGGGAAGGATTGAATACCGCCCCATGGACGACTTTACTGCCAATGAGCTTCTGTGGCATCGAATGCTATATCCATGCGCATGATGGCGAGGTGCCCCAGTTGTGCCGCTGTTGGGAAATACAGCTGGTCCAAACTACTATCTGAACGAGTGGGCGCATTTGCTTTGGGGCGGAGTGTTTCCGAAGTTCTGCTCAGCAACCAGCGCACCTCTTCGTTAAAGTGTCACTTCTCACTTTGTAGGCAGCCAGGTAACAGCTTTTGTGAGCGCGGTAACTTGATTAGTGGGATTACAAAGTCCGGTGAGTGACCGCAACCGTAACACGTGACTGGTTGGCGCGCAACGTCACGTGTCATCGATTAGAATTCGACGTGCCCTTTTGTCGTTTTTCCGCGCACTCCTACGGCGACAGAATGGGCGTGATAGAACCTGGCTCTTGTACGGAGCGTCCATGCTGGTATATAGGAGGACTATGGCAGTTGGTCGAATTGCCGGCAAGTGGTTTAGCCGGCACCCCGGGGCTAACCTCCCTTGCCCTGCGCGCGAAGCGCGCGCAGCCGCTTGCCTCGCCGCGCAAGCGGCGAGGCGAGTGCTGCGTGTATTTTTGGATAGTCGCCCAAGGGCGGCTGTGGTGGGGGGGTATTGTGCACTCACCAGCGAGGCGCTATACCCTCTCACGTTGGTGCTGAAACGTGTGGGTACACATCAGTAGTGTAGCTGCGCGCTCCAGTGCCAACGTGGATTACGGGTAGCGTCACTCCCCGACGGTTAATCCGGCTTGTTACATGCCCATGCGCTTCGTCTTTAAGTTATACGACTTTACATAAGTGTCGATCAGTTAATTACCTACCGAAGTCGGTGGATCACAGAAGCAACGCGTCGCTCTGCGAATCTCTTATCGATTCCTATGCAACTCTTTTCGCTGATACAACCATTTCCGATCCGTTAGTTTGCAGACCGTGAGCAACACTCAGTCTGTCCTTCATTAGCTTACGGACGCGCGCGAGACCAGCCGAAGCGTCAACACGCGCTCTGGCGCACGATGCGTACTTGGCGCGCAGTTGGCGCCTTCCGATAGATAAATTCGGTTTCATTACATTCTCCTTTTTTTCTTAGGTGTTCCACGTGCAGTGTTGCATTTGCTCGCGTTTTTGGCAAGAATTTTTGGCTGCTGATGGTGGGGAAGGGACCACGCGGCGCGCGTCTGTTTCGTCTGTTCCTCTAAGGCTTAGTTCAAGGGGCAGTTACTATTTCGTTGCCACGTGTCAGTTCAAAATACGCGCTTTTTCTTTTTTATGTGAATCATTACTTTTCAACTGTCCTCGAATGGTTAGGTTTATACAGTGTTTGAAAGTGGCCAGTCAGCCTCAGTATGTCATTCTCGAACAAAGCAGTATCCGTACAAAAAGACACTTTTGAGACTAAATAAGCGGCAAGTGAAACGCAAACGGCTCCCAATAAATGCCAATAAAAAAAATAAAAAAATGTTGTAATTGGCTTATCGATCGAAGGTCGGCTGACTGGCGCGCAAGTACGCATCGGCGCGACAGACCGCGTGTTGACGCTTTTCGCTTTCTCCGCGCGGTTCGCAAGGATCGCACGAGCTGCAAACTATGAAAGCAGCCTAAGGGTCATACTCTTGCAGCATGGTTAAAGTAGAGTGTCGAGTATATGATCGTAAGATCGATAAGCATCTACTCCCACGAATAAAAAACCGCGATCGCAGAAATCGCAGAATTGCATAAGCAAAGTATGAACCTCAATCCGCGCCACTCGCCCCTTGAAACATTCGCGCATTTTGCTCGCGGTCGCGCCTCTCCAGTGAATCTTGATCGATGCAGCACTAAATAATGAGAAGAGGACTCATTATTCTGTCATGATGATTATTGACATCTAATCCATTTGCTGTGGCGGGAACCAGGTAGGAAGAATATGAGAGCTATGGGCATGGAATTTAGAAGCGAAGATTAAACTAGTTTTATCCTGGAGAGAGAATGGAACCAATTTGGAATGTCATAGAGTGCGTGACTGGAGGGCAAGCACATTTAATACCTCTATGGAATCTGGGAGCGTGCATCAATGTTGACGAAGCCGAATGACAGAAATAAAAGCGCAGCGTTCGGCGGAAGGCCCACGCTAAGAACAGCTCACTGCGGAAGCCAATTAACGCGAACAGAAAAGACGACGTAAAGGCAATTACGCAGATCCTTCCTGACCTGATACTCTGACGAAGCGGAGAAGCAGAGGATGCACGAGCGTGGTCAATAGAACAATAAGAAAGCTTGGAGATCACCCGATAAGATGGGTGCTGGAAATTGAAGCCCTCGGGAGAAGCAGTGTGAGGGTCGTCATAGGACAGGAGAAGGAACATCAATATGTAGCCCACTGACTTGGAAGGGCACCTTGTATGTATAATAAACGAGTTTCGCATAAAAGCAGGACACGTGGCAATTTTTTGGACTTTCACGCTTCACCGGACGTAGGCGCTGAGGGCTTTTGTCGCCAGCGCTAGTGGTTCGAATTTGGACTTTGAACCTCACAAGAACACCTCTGTTCCGAATTGTTTCAGTGGTCAGTCCACCAGTTTTGAAGGCGTTCTGTACATTTTTGCTCACGACAAAGAATAAATTGTTCAACTGTCCGAGATTAGGTAACCTCCCCTTCAAAAAGCGAGAAAGTGTCGGGTGCAGACCAAACACCACAACTGACGACGGCCTCCAAGTAAATCTGGTTAGAAGTTGTTCATAGTGATAGCTGATTTCTGGTAAATGATAGTTGTAATTAGTGACAATGATAGAATACAACTGCAACAGGCTAATCATTTCATTGGCAGAAAACATTAACATTTTGTGAAGGCCGTCGTCACTTGTGGTGCATGGTCTGCACCCGACACTTTCTCGCTTTTTGAAGGGGAGGGTAATTTATTTGGCTAACGTTACTGCTTGTTTGCCTTTCGTCAGAGCGTAAAAAGTCAGAAATTAAATGGAGCCTGCGCTTTCAAAGC